AACGGTCTTCCCGACCTCTATCTCCCGTAGACTACGGTCCTTTAATTTGACCTTCACCAACCACCAACTATGGTCCTTCCGACCACTGTTTCTAGACAACGGTCTTTCCGACCTCTATCTCCTGCTAACTATGATCCTTCTGGCCTTCGTCGCCCACTGACTATGATCCTTCTGACCTCCATCACCAAACAACGATCTTCCCAACCTTCGTCGCCCGCTGACTAAAATCCTTCCAACCTTTGTTGCCCACCAACTATGGCCCCGCCAACCAAATGAGCATATTAATATCTCTTTTTCCAATTTTCACTGTGCAATGCACTCTATATAATGTATATTTGTTACATCAAACTAAATCCATTGCCCGAAGGAAGGGGCTCATTTGTAATTGACTGCAAACACATGAGGATTCATTCAAACTGGGCCAGGCCCATGGTTTTTCCTCTTTTTCATGAGTTTCCATGTAAAAATCTTTTGTGTCACTTATGACTCTTGCACCTCTTCTCTTTACATGTATGTGTACTAGATTTTCGTATAAAGTATAATACAATACCCAAAATATTCAAGTAAATGCAAGTATAACTTTTCTTTAAATGTTAATTGAAGCATATGTTACTTATGAAGTCAATTGTATATGCATAACTAGTATAAAAAATAATAGTTACATATGTCACAGTTTTTTTTTATTTTCACTAGAGCCTCTACATTCCACTAACCAAGCCATATATTGGCTGGATTAGATCCTACGGCTGGAAATTTTTGGAAAGCCTGTAATGGAAAAAGCACTAGAGATTATAATATAAAGTAATATGAATAAAATGCATTAATCCTATAGTGGGTTGGAATTTTCCTAAGTTATGCAGCATTAGTGTACTTCTCCCATTTTTCATCAGCTAACATAGGGTGTGAAGGAGCTGCAGGCCGTGGAATGCTATGGGAAGAATTCCATAAAAATTTCTCAGCAAAATAAGGTAAGTGAACTTAGGCAAATATTTTAGTTAGTGGTTGAAACTTTATTTGGCTGAAACCAAGTGCAGTTTGTTATTTATCTAAGTAAGGCTATTACTTTTAGTTGATGCAAAATCAAAAAACAATAAGGGAGTATTGTTGTTTGCTGATGGTAGTTCAAAACATGTTAAGGCTGAAGTGGTAGCATAAACATTAAAGAATATGACTTAGAAGGAAAGAAAAAGGATTTTATGGAATAAGAAAGAGTGCAATTGAGATTGTATACAAGAGGAAAGGAAGACAAAGTCTATAAGAACAAATTCCTAGTGAGGTGAGATACACAAACAAGGTTATAAGAATTAGTAAATATTTTATTATTGTACTTCATCTTTATTATGCTTATGACCACATTTCTATTTATTTTAGTTATTTTGTATGAACATGAATAAATATGTATGAAATTATTTATGCAGAGAGTAATCTTTATCAATGTGAATGATTTCATAAAGATAAAAGGATAAATATTCATAAACTAATGAATGAGCAAAAAAGGCAGCAAAAGCACAGCTAAAATGCGGCAGCTAAAAAGGGCAACTAAAACGTAGCAAAAGGGCAGCTAAAGCGCAGATGGCAATAAAAGCACAGTAAAAGGGCAGCAAAATGGCAGCTAAAGGGCAGCAAAAATACAGCTATGTCATTAAAAGCATATGTCGTTAGGGCTAAAAATGATGACTATATGGAAAGTGAAATAAGTTATATATGGGGATAGGCCCACACAAGTAAAGACAAAAGATCCAACGAGGTAAGCCTACACTCTCAATTTTAAAAGTTGGGAAAATTTACTCAACTCTGAATGAGAGAACACCTTCCATTCTAAAAGTTGGAAGTTGGACCCAATCTTGACTTGAAAAATTAAAAATGTGCAAAAGCTTATAGTTATTATATAATTTGTTTTAAGGTATTGAACAGTTTTGACAAGATGAATAATAATGCTAAGCACTTTTAGGCTCAATATGACACTTTAATATGTGTTTTAGCTATGTTAGTATTGTTAAGCATTTTTTATTTATTTATTATTATTTCTTACAAATTGCTTGTATATTTTATTGAGCCTAACTCATTAGCATTGGTTGTACTGTAGGAAAGGGGAATGAGCCCTTAGGACAGTAAAAAGAGGTAACCGTTCTTTTGTTGTAAATATATTTTGGGTGTGCAAAGAGATCTAAAACGAGATCTGAATGCTAGATGTACATACTTTTGGGTATGTGGGTAAATTTTAAAAGTTTTAATATAATTCTATATTTACTTCACTTACAATTGATTTTCATTAAGTGACATTATATGCTGCCTATTATTAATTATGAAATTTGATAGGTTGGCAAATTATGAGAGTCTAAATAGATTTTTTTTTTTATAACTCTATTCTGAAAGTAGTTACTCGAAATGGGTGTTAGTAAGAAGGACCCGTTTTAATTTTTGTTCTCTGGTATACTCTGGATTGACTGTTATGAGATATGCCAAACTGAGGTTTGATAGTTAAGATGCTAGATTTTATATCTCTTTATTGTTGTAAATGTTACAGCCCGCAACAATCATGAATTTATTTTTAAAAATTTTCAATTCAAATATATCATGAGAATCGTGCTCAATCAAAATATTTTTTGATGGCATATCACAAATGAATTTAAAAACTCGAAGATTTACATTAAAATTAGTGTAATACATCATATCATGATTCCAAAGCAAATCAAAATTTAAATTCAAAAATAAAACTTCACATAATTTCAAACATTTTAAAATACATCATTAAACATTTTGCATATAATAATGCCTTGCCACATTTTTTTTCCTATCTACCGACAAGAATTATTTTTTACCAACCACTGCGCTTCTCTCCTATGATTTTACATTTCATTCTCATCGACCTTTCAGCGAATGCCACGTGGAATGTTGACCACGTGGCGAGCTGCGTAACTGAAACGGTCCATAGGATCTTCGAATTTCCATAATGAATTGCGTGAGAATCGGTACCAACTGGCTGAAGGGTTTGGTGAAGACGGCAGTCCCTTAACTAGCTCGAGAGGGATAAGAACCCTAGCTCCAATTCTGGAAATTGCTTTCAATAGGCACAGCCTATTCGTCTGATTTCCGTAAGTAATCCACAATTCTATGTTGAAAAGAGCTCTCTTGCAATCTTACGATGTCATTATTGCCCAGATTTCAGGAAATTGAGCATTTTGATTCCTTTTCCAGATTTGAAAAGGCACGTTGGGTTCTGTCTTCAATCTGTTAGAAGAGAATATATGGGGAAAGGAGCGGGTTGCGTGCCGAGCAAGAAGCGGCCGCCGGCAGTGCGCACGGAGAACTCTTCGAGCGATGTGAAGAATGCACCAGTTGCTATTGAAGAGAGGAGTATTGAAATTGAGACGGCAAATAACGCTGCTCCCCCTCCGGCCGAGGTTAAGTTGAAGATCTTTATCGTGTTCTACTCCATGTATGGACACGTGGAGAGCTTGGCGAGAAGGATAAAGAAGGGGGTGGATGGAATCGACGGTGTTGAGGGATTCCTTTACCGCGTGCCAGAAACTCTTCCTCATGAAGTACTTGAGATGATGCAGGTGCCCCCTAAGAATGAGGAGATTCCAGTTATTACTGCGGCAGAGCTTACTGAGGCTGATGGAATTTTGTTTGGGTTTCCCACGAGGTTTGGAAGTATGGCTGCTCAAATGAAGGCTTTTTTTGATAGTACAGGTCAGCTGTGGAAGGAACAGAAGCTGGCTGGGAAACCGGCTGGGTTCTTTGTGAGCACTGGGACGCAAGGAGGAGGGCAAGAAACCACTGCGTAAGAATTTCTGTAAAACTTTTCCTTCTCAGTTCATTTCATATCAATGAGGAGCAACAGTACAAAGGCATTGTTTATTTATAATTGGTTCTTTATCATCCAATTGCATTACTCATAGAACATAATCTCATTATCTGGCATGTGGTTTTATGTGTTAAAATTCTCTTGATAAGTTTTCATGGCCACAATTTTGTGGTACAACAACAACAACATCAAGCCTTTGTCCCACTACGTGGGGTCGGCTACATGAATTCTTTTTCTCCATTGTGTCCTGTTAAAAGTCAAATTCTAGTTTAAATCTGATAAAGAAAGATCATTTCTAATATTTTTCTAACCAAGTCTTTTTAGGTCTACCTCTACCTTTCTTGACATAAGTCAAATCTAATACCTCTACTTCCTAACCGAGTCATCGGAAGGCCGCCGTTTTATGTGACCAAACCATCTAAGGCGACTCTCTCTAATCTTATCTTCTACTGGAGCTACTCCAACCTTTCCACGTATATGCTCATTTCGTATCCTATCTCTAAGGGTAAAGCCACTCATCCACCTAAGCATCCTCTTCTCTGCAACACATACCTTTGTATTATGCTTCTCTTTTAATGGCCAACATTCGGCACCATAAAGCATTGCAGGCCACAATTTTGTGATGATAGAGGACAAATGTGCTGTTGGTAGGTTTTTGCGTTACGATTTTTCTAGTGCTCATCTAGCATGATGCAGCGCTGTAGGGAGGATGAAACGAGAAGGGACTAAACTTGGACTTGATGAACCAATGTTCAAACTAATTTTTATCCCAAAAGCTTAAGCCTATGGTAAGGGTGAAACACTTAGTGATTCCACACTAGCATATTTTTCAATTATATAATGTGAGATTAAACCCACAATCTCATGTGCTTTAAGAAGCACTAGAGTGCTTTCTCTTATTGATCAGTGGCACAATATTCACTACTTCATTCAGCCTCTTATTTGCTTCACGTCGTATTTCATAGTTTTAGATATCTAGAAACTAGGATACAATATAATCCCCTACCAAATTCGTTTAAATATTGTTATTCAACAGCAATCATTGTCCCTGCACCAAGTTTGTCTATTGGTTAAAACAGTTCGGGAATTGGTTTTAGTAGTGTTAGTCATGGTGAGGAACATCAAAGTAGTATTCTTGTCAGAAATAAGGTAGATACTTTTTGTCCAGTAATTATGATGATACTTTAAACAAACAATCTTTGTTAAGCTAAACACAAATGAATAATAAGTGATTGTATTTAAAATGGAATGGAATCAAGATAGAATTGGTTTGTACAAATTAACTAAAAATTTGCCAGCATAGCCCTAAAGGGTGTTACATTCACTTTTACTCATGCATGCTTTATTTAAGATTATATGACATCTAAGAAATTTGATGTTAAAGCTAAAACTAAATTTCTTTTAGGTTTCTTTGCTTAATGTGTAGGCATAGCTGCTAACTTGTAAGTTTTTCAGGGCTAGTCTTTTTTATGTATATAGTCCTAAGTTGTTAGATAAGTTTCTTTTTTCCATTGCGGGTCCCAAGCAAAGTATAAAGGCTAAGGTTGATATTAGGTTGGAAACTAATCTTAAATTTATGCTAAAATCCATAAAAAAAAGCATAGTTTTTCATTGAGGGGAGAAAGCTAAATAATGAATAATACAAAATTCAAGATCAGCTAGAAAAATTGGGAATTTCTACAATAACCAAATTTTATTTGGCATTGGAATCTTGGAACTATATAGACAAGAACGTACGTTGTTGGATGAATAGGGATTTTGCATTAAACTTTCTAAATAATACAAGAGACCTGGTAAAATAATTCCTTAACATGTAAATTTAAACTCCCATGACCTTAAGATAGGATTTGTAATATGTTAAACCTCAACTTCTAGAATACTATTCATAAATGAATTTATGCTCGGTTGTCAATCGTTAAATTGATAAAAGCTGTAGTGCTAATTCATTGCTTTTATTCTAGATTATAGAACTTGTCTACTTTATGCATAATATCCATATCATCCTAGTTTATGTTAGTTTTGTACTTTCTTTTGCATTAAGTAGCCATTTACATTGCCACCTTAAGTTATACCTTATTTTTCAAGCATTATTCTCTCCAGTAACTTTTACCTTCTCACTTTATATTTTCTCAGTCTGCTTTCATCCTTATATTTTCTCCATCATATTCATTTTAGATATCTTGGGTCTATTATTCAGAGTGATGGTGAAATAGATGGGGATATTATTAGTAGAATTCAAGTTGGATGGTTGAAGTGGAGGAATGCATCGGGCATGTTATGTGATAGAAAATCCCCCTCAAACTTAAGGGAAAATTCTATAAGATGGTGGTGAGACCTTCAATGCTTGATGATGCAGAATGTTGGTCATTAAAAGAGAAGTATAATGTTAAGTTAAGTGTTGCAGAGATAAGGATGCTCAGGTGGATGAGTGGCTTTATTCTTAAAGATAGGATACGAAATGAGCATATATGTGAAGATGTTGGAGTAGCTCCAATGGAAGATAAGATTAGAGATAGTCTCCTTAGATGGTTTGGTCACATAAAACGACAGCCTTCCGATGATCCGGTTAGGAAAGTAGATGTGTTAGATTTGACTTATGTTAAGAAAGGTAGAGGTAGACCTAAAAAGACTTGGTTAGAAAATATTAGAAATGATCTTTCTTTATTAAATTTAAATGAAAATTTGGCTATTAACAGGACACAGTAGAGAAAAAGGATTCATGTAGCCAACCCACATAGTGAGATAAAGGTTTGATGTTGTTGTTATTGTTGTATTCATTTTGCGAAACATCACCTCAGCACCCCTTGGTGCATAATACATTTTGATTTTGTTTTGTTATTATAACTTCAGCTTTACTTACTATCTTTATTTGGCATCATAGGATTTTAAATTATGCTATAATTGTGATGATTCCCAAGTTTTTTCGGTTAATGATTGCTTAACTCATCATCTTTTTTTATTTTTAATTGTGAGGAACTTTAACATCATCATCATAGGGGTGGTTTGTCCTTTACTTCTGAAGTGATGTAAGATAACTAATCCTGGACTTAATCATTCTCCCACTTATTTTTATTGACCCTAGACTTATTAAATCTACTAATTTTCACTAGTGCACAAAAACGGAATGCTTAAGAAAATAAACCTGGTGCTAGTAGATGCCATTGCTTAGCACATGTCTCGCAATTTACTTTAGAATGAGCAAGAATTTATCACCGAACTTGTGATTTAAGAGAACAAATGTAGCAGTAGTTATTAATTTTTTAAATTGCACAATCAGGTATTGAGATATTTTCTAGCCATGAGGCGAGGCGTCAAATTTGAAGTGTTTAAGGCATAAGATGATAAGACTCAAAATTAAACAATCAACAACAACAACAACAACAACAAGCCTTTATCCCACTAATTAATAAAAATTAAGTAATATACTAACATCAAAATAAGATCATAACAATAAGTCTCTACTACTCTCAATTCAATATAAACAAATAGTATAAATTACTAGGATTATAATTTATGAATTCAGATGTCCACTCTCATCACTTAGTAGGTCTTCATTAGGAACTTTTATTACGTCCTCTGACCGGACGTAGATCTACGTGCGGTCAAAGGATTGTTACTCGATTTTTGCTCGGTATTTAGTCGGTATTGCTAGGTATTGTTTGATAATAACGAGGAATACCACTATGGGAAGACCAATACCGAGCAATACCGAGTAATACCAAAAAATACCGAGTTTTTCTAGAAAAAACTCGATATTTTTTGGTATTACTCGGTATTGCTCGGTATTACTCAGTATTTTGTCTTCACATAATGATATTTCTCGTAATTATTGGTATTGCTCGGTATTTGCTCGATATTTCTCATTTTGTGTCTGTGATCTTAGTGCCGGCCGAACGTAGCTCTACGTACGTTCACCGGACCAAATAAAAGTTCCTTCATTAGAGTCATCATTATAGTAAATTGATTTCTCTTATCCAACATCCTCCCATTATTCCTTTTCATCTTTGATCTCGACCATCTTTCTCTTCCCTAATTAATAAAAAGCATAATTATTTTCGCCCTTCACTTTCATCATTTTTTAATCTACAGAGCTCCCTACATCTCTTTTCAACATTTGTGGCTGTGTAGTAGAAATAGTGTGCATCTAGAAGTTAAGAATTGCATGTGTTTTATGTTCTTAGTTAGTTTGTTTTTATGTTTCGGTATAGATAAATTACAAAATAAGATTTATTTAATATATTGAATTTATAAATTAAAATTTCTAAATAATCTAAATCATAGTTTTTGAGGCTTGCCCCCCAGCCTTATTGAGGCCTACGACTCATCAGGCGCATCAGGCCAAGATGAGATTTTCGCCTTACGGATTTTTTTTTTTTGAATTGCGCCGAGGCGCGCTCCTTATTGCATTTTTTTAAAGAGTGGTAATAATATTAATTTTGATGTTATATCAAGGTTACATATATGTTGGTGCAGGTAAAAATAATTAACTTTAGTGCTATTTTAGTTGATCATTGCAATATCACTTCTCAAGTTACATTTTTTTGGGGGAAAAAACCATGAGCCTTGCATTCTGCATACAGTTACTTAATTTCAGGTTGAAAGTCTCAAATTGGCATCTGGAAAGCCATCTCATATCATAAAAGGTCAAATAATGTGGCCAAGGTGCCAGCTACCATCCAGATATACCAGACCATGCTCTTATTGAAAATTTTGATTCTGCTTGTTGAATATATCTACAAAAGAACTTTTGATTATATAGATGTCACTTGGCTTCATGAAGCCCATTGTTTAGCTGGTCCTTTTTTCTTCATTTGTCCTCTTTAGGCTTTGTTTGGGACGGCTTTTTACTGCTTCGTGAAGCAGCTTTTCAGTATTATAAAAATTATATTTTTTGTACTATACAGCTGCTTCAAGAAGCAGTAAAAGTCATCCCAAATGAAGCCTTAGACACTTTGGTTCTTAAATTTCGTAATTTAAGAGGACCAAGTTGTCCATGTGGTGAAAAGTAAATATCTAAAAAAAATATATTTTTTCTTGAACCACTTGCAGTTGGACTGCTATCACCCAGCTGGCCCACCATGGCATGCTATTTGTTCCTATAGGTTACACCTTTGGGTCCAATATGTTCAAAATGGAAGAGATCAGAGGAGGCTCACCTTATGGTGCTGGAGTATATGCTGGTGATGGTAGTAGAATAGCCAGTGAGGTCGAACTTGCTCTTGCTGAACACCAAGGGAAGTACTTGGCTTCCACCGTTAAAAAAATGGTTAAGCCTTAGTCAAACAATCAAACTATTTATTTGGATTTGTTTTCTGAGCTGATTGCAAGGTTTTGTTTTATTTTTTATGATCAATAAATAAAACTTAAAGATCTCTTATTCTCTTCTTTTCTTACATTCCTATTGTTTCTCTATTTCTATTGATGTGCATTGCTATTTACTGCCTCTTTGTGCAAGTTTTTCAAGACTACCAGCTCATAAATAATATTGCCGTTACTCATCAAATCACAAAAAGATCAAAATGATCCCTCAACTCTTTATGAAATATCATTTTGATCCCTCGATTCTTTAAAGAAAAATCAAAATAGTCTCACCAGAATTTGAGGAATCAAAATGATCATTTAATATAATTGAGGATCATTTTGATCCTTCGTAAAGAGTTAGAGGACTATTTTGATCTTTTTTTCTTTTTTTTTTTTCCTGTCAGGTGAAGTTTGCCGTTCTCACCAAAAACATGCTGAAGTTTGTGTTGTTGGTATCTTCGTTAGTTTTTTTTTAATTGTACGCTATTTTATTTTCAATTATTTAGGATGTAAAAATAAAATCATCCTATTTAAAGGATTATGGAGCTATTTTTGTCAAGACAGGGGTGATTATTGAATTTAATCTCTAAAATCAGATGTCATATAATTGAAAATAAGTTAATAGTGAAATATCAAGTGGTTGTTTTTAGATTCATTGACCTAATTTTTTTAATTAAAATCAAATTTAATCATTTATAAATATTGTTTAATTTTGATTTAAGTATAGTTCACACCCTCTTAATAATTCACGAAGGTTAAAATAAATATTCATGCTTACTTGCATTGCATTGAATCAATTGATATAAGAAATAATCTTTTTTTTATTAAATTTAAATGAGAATTTGACTCTTAATCGGATACAAATAACCAAACCGACAGGGGGAGTGCCGACTTGCTAATGAAGTCATTAGCTTGAAATAGGCATCTCCTGTTGATGGGGCCAATGACTTCCAAAAGCTAGGCAAATGACTCCTTAAATTGCGAGAAATTAATCCATGCGGAGACCGGATGCAGAGTGCCATCCGGAGACTGACCAGAATACACCATGTCAGCGGTATCGAGCCACGGTACCAAACGAAGGGGTGATGTGGCACATTTTGATTAGTCTCCGGACAACTTTCAGCATTTGCACATAATAATAAATCTCAAATTAGAGCGAGTGGCCCTCTCACCCTAGATGAGTGATTGGATTGTGTTTTTTTTTTTTTTTTCCTATTGCAACACTTCACAATATTTATTTATATTTATATTTATGTATCTTTTATTTGCCATTAGAAATGCTTAAATCATCTAAATTTATTAGCGCATATATTGTTCTATAAGTTTCCTAAAATCTCTCTTATCCCTTAGTTTAAAAAACAAAAAATCTTTTAGAGTTATTTGGTTCGATGAAAAGTGAGTGTAAAACATTCTAACTACAAATATTTTAGGAATTTTGGTGTTGGTTTGATGAAAAAGGACTGCATAATAAGTTTTTTGGTGAATTTAAAACTCACTCCGTAGATTATTTTTTGTTGGGGATGAAAGTAAATACTGCGATGAAACAAATAAGAAAATTAAAAAAAAAAATTGAAAGTAAAAGCACACCAGTATTTAATGTGGAAAAATTCAAAATAGAGAAAAAATCACGGAGTCACACCACATCGCACCAAAAAATCTATTATGAAAATAAGGAGAAATAAGTCAATATCTCTCTTCTTTCTTACACAGTTCTCACAATTTACATGTCCTAACTACTCGCAATACAAGAGAAAGTCAAGTTATAACTCCAAGGGACCCAACCGGCAAGAAAAACGAGAAAAAAAATCGTCCAGTCCACCTCGAATGGCTGCAACACCACTTTTGAGGGCTGCAGCGCTCAAGCCTCTATCATTATGATTTGTGATGCTCAAACTTGAAGCGTTGCAGCGTACTCATGGCTCCGACGCCGAATCTAGAGTGGTGCAGTGCTATGCTCTATGTCAATCGGTGCTAGGGTGCTCGGGAACACAGCGTCAGGAGCTCAGGTACACAACGTCGGGGTACTATACAAAAAAAAATAAATTTAACACTACATTTATTTTACTTGAAAGCAGACAAAAAAAAGCTATTTTTATGCTCATCCAGACAACTCCAAATGCTTCAAATATATTGTATTCATTTTACAATATATTTTATTTTCTCTATTTTTCTTTTTCAACGAACAAGCTGCCCATTAGGCAAAAAAAAAAAATCTATCTATAATATAGAGACTTACTCTTTTGCAAGTAATTGAATGTATTTTCAATTTCTTATGGATTTTTTTTTTTTGCAATTTAAAATTGTATGCTAGCATAAAATAAATAAAAATTAAATATAGTTCCAATCATCATATCTATATCTCACATCTTTTTATAACATATACATTCATTTACTCACTGCATATAGTTAACTTCTCTTCTTTAATTGTGTGAATTTGCATTCATTTTATTAATACTTTTTTCATACATTTTTAGCCCAAACTTTTGGATTCAAATCAATATGTGGGCAACATCAAAATCCTGTTTACATATATTATAGCAAGAAACAGAAAGAGAAAAGAACCATCACTAATGAATCTGAATTCCAAAAGTTTTTGAACTTCACAGCAAATTGGTTCAACCAACATTACAGTAACATGCCTAATTTGTTGCTTAATCTACCTTATCTTCTTGTGTCATTTAGGCTTCGTTTGGGACGGCTTTCTTAATGTTTCATAAAGCAGCTTTCTAGTATAGAAATGAAAATTTTTGTACTAAAAAGTTGCTTTAAGAAGCAGAAAGAAAGTCGTATCCTTAGTTTGTGAAGTCAAAACCTCATACCTCATTAACCAACCAGGTGAATACTTCTCATGAGAGTTGCAATCAAGTTGCTCCTTTCTAACTACTTGATTTTCTTTCAAAATGAGCACATCTTCAACAACCTCAAATATTTTTAGCCCTAATGTTTATTTTAACATCAAGTTGGAGGATCTCTCCATGCTCATTTTCCATTGCTTTTAGATAACATGTTATTAACTTTACTAAGTTGTCTCTGAATTCACTACATAAGTCCCTGCTAGAAACTTTAGGGCAACAAGATAAATAGAAATAGATGCTCTGAAAGAAATCATCAGTGGTTGGTCAAAGATGACATTGTAACTAGTTAGGGTATGATTATAATGAAGGTGACCATTATAGTAAAATACTTATGTTCTTCTCCCAGGTAATTAGCTGTGTAATCATTCTTTCTCTCCCCAAAGAAGCAAAGAGAGAACTAGAGGTTGGAGTCGGGTAAGAAGCACCAAGATTACCTTCTTGAAGATGCTTTTGAAAATAATTTTAACTAAGCTATATATCAATCAACATACTGCTGATTTTGTAGTTTGTGATTAAACTTGTGAAGACAACTACATCACTGCAAGAGTTTTGGCATACCCGAGGGTCTAATGAAAGAATTAAAATATAATCCTAATTATCTCATTGTCAAAAGACATAATAGAGCACTAGGCATACAATATGATGAAAGATATACAAAATTACAATGTACACTTCTTCTCAAACTAATTATTTACAACCGTCAAGAATAGTTATAATTCATCAAAATACATAAATAAGATTGGATTATCAAAATAATAAATTGAATATGCTAGCACATGATATATTCCACTCTAAACAACAACTATTCAGTCAATTATTTTCCTTTTTCTAAAATAGCAAATACTTCATAGAGTGAGCAACGAAATGCTCAGTAGGCTATCCTAAAATCAGATCATATAGATCAATGCTCATATGCATAGTTTTACAAATAAATGATTCAAATGTCTTTTTATAATTCTAATATAAAATAACTGCAACACTTAATAACATTAGTTTACTCATGCTTAGTGTTTACAATTATTAGAAGAATGACATAAGCGTAATTTGAATTTGAATTTGAATATTCATAAAAAATAATATTTCAAAAATTATCATTTGAACATTGGGAACATTAAAATGTACTTTCACATGAGTATCAATGTATATTTATCAACATGAATATCACTTGCACTTGAACTTATCTAACTTAACAAAATATACAACACATGAATTATGAAATATGCATATCCTGATATCTACTTATAACTCTCTTTTTCACTTATGCCTCCCAAAGTGAACCCTGTCACGACCCGACCCGATCCGGGACGGATCCCGCTCGCACCGGATCGCGGCACGGAACGAACAAACTGACTGACCAGGATTTGGCTTTGGAATTTGCTTACTGAACTAAATCTTCCAAATTATTTCAACTCAAACACCAACACACAGAACAGACCAGAGCTACTATGAATCATCAAATGTTTTTTTTTTTATAACTCCACTTCCACTTATAACTCCCTAAATATAACAAAAATAGACAGAACAGAGAGGGTCAACATTATTTATAGTATACTTTAACATCTCTCATAGTAGAACTTTCTTCATGCAATGATATATACATGAATAACTTGTATGTTTAATATAAAATTACAACATTAACATGAACGAGATCATGCATGAACTGCCATGCACCTTTACAATATTTCAAGATATAATATATGTATAATTTTCATACACATGTGACATTTGTCACTTAAAAAATCATTCATAAGGGGCTTTTAAAACAACGTTTTCAAAATTTTAATGAATTGTTGTAAAATGTTATAAATGACAAATTTAACATAAAATAATCAATAATATATATAGACAAAATTGACTGGTAAAAATTTGATTTCTTATATTTAAAATGACCATAACAAAATATTCTATAAAATGTTAGAAATCAAATGGTGAAAAGTTTCTTAAACTCATTAAAATCACATTTTATCCATAATTTTTCATACAAACATCAAAATTGAGATTAGAAATAGGATATTGATAGTCTACCTTGATCTAAACAATTTTCTTAATAGAAAGACAAATCTCGCACTTTAGCCTCCAAATTTATCCATGTTCATTGTCTCTCCTCATCTTTGTCTTTCCTAAAGCCGAGGAGAGGCGAGGTAAGGGAAAATAGTTTTAGATATTTTATATATAAAAACTCTATTTATGACACAACATCATGACTCTCCCTTCCCTAGCACC